CCCCCCCCAGCCAGTCCTGGCCCTGGCCTGCTCAGTCCTTGTGGGGATGGGGGGCCACACTGGCCCCCGCAGAGAACTCACGGAGCCTGGGCCCAAGCCTCAGCTAGACCGCTGGGGCTGAGCGCGGGGAGCCGCTACCTGCAGGCGCTGGCAGAACGGGCAGGGAGCAAGGGCAACGTGGCGGGGGACGTGGACCCCTGCCTGCCTTGGGCACTGCTGGGCGGGCAGGGGCCAGGGCCGGGGCTGGCCTGCCCTGCCCAGTGAAGCCGTGCCAGTGCCGCCGACCTCCTGCTCGCGCACGCCAGGGATGGCTAATTTTAGCAGCTCGTCTCCCTGGCTCTGGCATGGGGCCAATGGTGCAGTGCTGGTGTCAGCCAGCTGCTCCGGACACCTCGGCCTGCCCAGCCCAGCGGGGTCCTGGCCAGGAGCTGCCAGCTGGCGGCAGCAGGGGGACATGCCAGCACCAGTGTCAGGCACAGGCAGAGGCCCTGACCAGCCACACCGCCTGGGGCAGGGCCAGGCCGGGCAGTGCCAGAGACCTCCAGGGTCCTGGCCAAGTCCCAAGCGGGCCCAGGAGGCTGGTCCAGCTTCTGCCATCTGCTCCAAGCTTGCGGGGCTGGGCCAAGGGCTTGGTTCTGAGCGACGGAGCCTCGGGGCCCCTGGCTGCACAGAGCCTGCTGGAGCCCCCCAGGGCCCGGGCCTCGCTGCACCAGCCCGGGCACAAATCCCCAGCAGCCAGGAACTCGCCCTGCTGGGAGGCCACTGCCCGGGCAGCCCCAGGGCGAGGATGCAATTGTCTGGGGGTGCGATGGGGCGAGGGGCCCGTGGTGGCAGCAGGGACCCCCGTGGCAGCCCTGGGCTCTGCTAGGTTCAAGGGGGCGGGCAACTCTGAGCTCCTACAGGGAGGGGGGCCAGGGCAGCATCGCTGCCGCGGATGTGCCAGGTTGCTGCCGCCCCATGCCCCGCCGGCTGGCCCACCCCACAGGGGCGGGCCGCCCCCCCCCCACCTGCCACAGGCCGCGGCCCCACGCACACATGTGTTTCCAATGTGGTGCGAGCTGGGGGCGAGCACAGGACGGCGCCGAATTCCTTTCCTATCGAGTAATGGGCCCGGCAGCCTCCGCGAGGCCCTGGCGGGGGAGGGCCGCGCTGACCTGCCACTGCCCGGGAAGCCCCAGACTAAACATCCCCTCCCCTCCCAGCCTGCCCGGCCCTGGCCCCAGGAGCCCTGCAGCTGCTGCAGCAGAAGCAGCACCCCCGACCCAGAGCCCCCACTGCCAGCCTGCAGGCCCCCAGCTGGGTCTCCCACCCAGGGGCTGCAGCAGTGCAGGCCGTGCCCCCCCACAGACCAGCTCATGCCTGATCTCACTGGGCTGCGACCGTGGCATCGACCCCCACTGCTGCCCTGAAGCTGCCTGTGGCTCTTGGCCGCCCAGGGGGCAACTCGGGGCAGGGGTGGGCTGCGCCTGGGGGATCAGAGCCCAGCACAAGCGAGTGATGCTTGTCTCCCCCACCTCCTGCTCCCTCCTCCCCAGAGCGGTCCCTGCAGCAGAAGCCCCCGAGCAGCTCCCGGAGAGGCCTGCCACGGCCAGCTGGACACACGCGGGCTTTGCGGCCTCCGCCCCAGACAGGCGGCGGCACTGCGCTGACCCCACGACCTTGGGCCCGGGCAGGAAGGGGGTGCACAGAAGGGGCCGGTGGCACTGCTGCAGAGCGCACGTCCCAGTGCTGCGGCAGCTGCTGCGCGGCTGGCTGGGGTCTGGCGGCATAAGGAGCCCATTGTTCAGCCCGGCCTGGCCCGGCCCGTGCTGCGCACGCAGCCTTCCCTGGGGACCCACCGTGGGCAGGCAGGCTCGGCCGCTCCCCCGGCCCTCCTCACCCCGCAACCGGCTCTTCCAGCTGGGCTGCCTTTGGGGCTGGGGACGCTGGCAGAGGTGCCCGTGCCGTGGGCTCTGGGGGCAGCTGGCACAGCAGGAGCCCGGTGACGGCTCCCTGGGGACGCGGGGCCTAGCCAGGCCGTGAGCAAGGGTCGATGCCAGCGCATCCCTGGCCCCGTGTAGTGACGCGGGGGCCCGGGGAGTGGACCAGCAGAGCCGGCCGTGGGCGATCCCGGGCAGGGGATGCTGCGCGGGTGCCAGCAGCCGGGGCTCTGCTCAGCCTGGTGGCTC